TATAAATATTTTCCTGTGACATATTTGGGGGCACCAATTTATGTAGAAAGGAAGAAAGTGTGTTACTTCAATGATATGATTACCAAAGTGACCAATAGAGTGCAAGTATGGAACAATAAACTTATATTTGCTGGAGGAAGAGCTATTTTGGTCAAATCAGTATTATATTCTCTCTCTATGCACATCATGGCTGCAATAGACCCTCCTAAGACCACACTCAATCACATTGAAAAGGTGATCAGTAACTTTTTCTGGGGAGAGTTTGAAGGCAGACCAAAACACCATTGGTTTTCATGGAAGTCATTATGCTACTCACAAGAAGAAGGTAGTGCTGGCTTTAGATCTACACATGATATTTGTCTCACTTTTGCTGCTAAAAATTGGTGGAGATTGAGATCACAACAATCTTTGTGGAGAGAGTGTATTGAGGCAAAGTACTGTAAAAGGATTCATCCTGTGGCTAAGAAGTGGAGGCATGGGCAGTCTCACATATGGAGGAGACTTATGGAGATTAAACATATGGGGGAACCCCTTATCCTTTGGAATCCCAATGCAGCAGAATGCTCTTTTTGGTGGGATGATTGGCCTGGACTGGGACCGCTAGCTAAATTTGTGGCTCAAGGACCCAAGCCAGGAAAAATGCAGTTAAAACATGTCTATGATGGTGAGACATGGAACTTTTAGGAGGTTCGACAAGTTCTACCAAATCACATTTTGGATCAGATCAAGAAAGTCCCAATTAGCAGAGATAACAAACTAGATAGGCCTATTTGGAAACCATCCAATGATGGTAAATTCTCTTGTAAAACTGCTTTTCATGCGTTGAGACAAACTGGAATCTCATCCATGTCCTCACAAAGAATATGGCATAAAAAATCCCCTTTAAGGTATCTTTCTTCATGATGAGGCTTTTGAGGGGGAGATTACCAACTGATGAAGTGATAAGAAGGTTCGGCATTCAAGGACCTTCTAAATGCTATTGTTGTAGAGATGCACAAGAAGACTATATTGCTCACATCTTTTTCTCAAGCTGGAAAGCTCAATATATATGAAAACATTTCAGTCAGAGCATAGGTATTACTATCTTAAGCAACTTAAAATAGACATTGATGAAATGGTGGTTCATTAAGCCTTTGAATGAGGTGCACAATTTTGTTCTCCAATGTGTTCTTTCAATTATCTATTGGGAGTTGTGGAAACAAAGGTGTGCAGCTAAATATGAAGGTTCATTTGCTTCTGTACAAAGCTTGTTATATCGAGTGCAATCACTGATAATCATGCTTCTTAAAGTTCACTACAAGAGAATCAAATGGCAAGACGACTGGGTTGGAATTTGCAAGCTCCTCGAAGGTTTTAAACCTCCAATGAAAACTCTCAAGGTGATGTGGTCACTTCCTCCTTCAGGTAGACTAAAGCTTAACACAGATGGGAGTAGTAATGTTATGAAAAGAGTGGTCGGTATTGGGGGTATTGTTAGGGATAGTAGTGGAAAGCTTGTCATGGCATATGCCAAGGCTCCTCACTTCTGCACTAACAATACGGCTGAAACGCAAGCTGTACGTTTTGGAATTGAGTGGATTGCCTTTAATAGGATTCACAATGTAATTCTAGAAATGGACTCTTTATTGATTGTTAATATGCTTAATGGATCTTCTTCACCTTTTTGGTAGATTTATGATGATATTTTAAAGATGAAAAAGATTATTCAGAGTCATCGAATTCAAGTCCAACATTGCTATAGACAAGGAAATTCAATGGCAGACGCACTATCAAAATATGGTGCTACATTGGATATTCTACCTATTGCTACCATCTTCCTCAATGTTCAAGATTTACTTAAGGAGACTGTTGGGGTGTATCAAATGGATAGGAGGCAAATGCCTTCATTTAGATTCAGAAGATCAAAAATGAAGAACCTGCGCCTAGATGAAGTAGGATGATTATTGTATATATGTTGTGTTTGTACATTTTTGTCATAGCATCACATGTACATGGAAGACTCACTTCCTGCAATCATAGTAGTACTAACATAGCTGGCCTTTTTTGGTGTTAACTTATATTGGATAGGGCATGTCCAGTCCTTTCTAATTCACAGAGGAACATAGGCATTTGGTTCCTTTTGTTGTATATTTCTCATTTTGGTTATTAATCTACAGGTAGGGGTCTGCCTACCCCCTCCAGGCAATCACGCAAAACTTCTGCACTCTAGAGCTGAAATTTTTGTTTTGTAACTGGCGAACTTAGTTTTTATTTTGTAACTGGCGAACTTCAGCTCTAGAGCTGAAGTTTTCCTGATTTGCTCTTGTCTCACACATGAAAATGTATAAGCATCTATATTCATCTCTAATTACGTGTTACATTTTAGCAATATATTTTCAGCCAGAAGTGCTTTCTACCGCCAGTCGCTCCTCCTAAATGACCTATCAATTAATGAGGCTTCAAAATCATGTTATCTGCGAGAAGAAATTGGAATTAAAGCCTTTGTTCCCAATTTCTTTGGAGTGAAGCAGCTAGAGATCCCCATATTTTAGCCCTATTCCTCTCACTCTTCGTTAGTTTACTAAACTAGATTAATTCCCAAGTCATATACGTTGAGATCAATTTACCTCACATGAATTTTATTACTCCATAACAGAACTTNTAAAGTGAAAAAAGAGCTTGTCAAGATTTCTACACTTCATATAGCCTCTTTATTACTCAAAATTAGTTTATTTGGAGTGTGTTTTGTTTAAAAGTGATTTTCTCAAAAGTATTTTTAGTAAGAAGAAGTTTGTGAGCTCTTTTGGATTGATTTATTTTAAATGGAGAAAAGCTCACTTTATACTCATTAATTCCAAACTATTTAACCTTTAATGTCATGCCCAAATTATTTACTTCTCCTACCCATGCGGCCCAAACTATTTACCCAGCCCGTTATTCATTTATTCTATTCGCACTGCCTCACCAACCGCAATAAAGGACTCATTAATTTCAAATGCGTCCAGTTTTTAATCCCTCTACTTCTTTGTCAATTTCACTGAAAAACGAATATGTGAATTTTTCTTCAGATTTTGTTTCTATCTTTAATATTATCGTACATGAGTTTCACTCCAAAATTCTCTTTATATATTAGTTTTTGTTGTATTTATTTGTATTTCTGAACCCATGTATTGTTGCAGTTATATATTAAGTTTTCCGGCTCTGAATTTTGTGTGTGTAAGATCCACCATTGATGAGCTTGAAACTCCTGTATTTAAAATTTTATTTAGAAGATTTTTTATTTGATGCGATATGGGTGCTATAAAATCTTGATTATAGTACCTTCAAGTAAGCTTCCCGAATCTGAATTTTTATATGTATTTGAATATTCACTATTGTTGGGCTTGAAGATCTTGAATTTAAAATTTTTATTTTGAAGATTTCTAGTTTGATTCAAAGTTGGTGCCGTGAAATATTGCTTATAGTACCTTCTGGAAGTTCATACTGAAATTTGATAGTATTTGGAGCTGATTTGAGGTGATTGAGATAGAAATTTCAGTTGAAAATTGAAGAACACATCTACCCAATGGTATACCTCTATGGTATACAATATGTTGTAGGAGTATATAGCTATACTGCAACAATATACTATTATAGTTTGCAATATACTGCAATGGTATATTGTAATAATCGAAGAAGAACACAGTTACCTAATAGTATACCGCTATAGTATACAATATACTATAGGAGTATATAGTTATATTGCAACAATATACTATTATAGTATACAATATATTGTTATAATATACTGTAATAATATGCAATATACTGTAACAATATGCTGTAACAATATATAATATACCATAATAGGATACTTATTACCCGTAAATTCACTTGCCTTTTCCCTTTTAATTTGCTTTAAGCTTTTACCCAGCGTGAACGGGCAAATTGAAAATTCAAATCTTTTTTTCGTTTTGATTTATTCTATGATTTAATTCCAAGACTTCTGACTTCTGCAAACATTAATATGCCATTGGAGGACCTTGAAGCTTTGAAACTCATAAATTGATTTGTTGAGTTTGTGGTTATTTTGAAACTCAAAACAAGAAAAAAAAATTTACTCTTTGCGTACAATTGTATACCATGTTGGTATAGCTATATACTATACTGATATCATATTTTAGTTAATATTTTTTTGGTTTAATTAGCTATATTTAATTGGTACACAATTTAATTTCTTTGGTAATAGTATAAAAAAAAGAATAATAAAAAATAGTGAAAACAGTAAATGAAATTAGATTATGAAGAGAAAAAGAATATAAAAAAAGAAGTTAAATGAAATTAGAAAAAGAAAAAAAATAAGAAGAAAACGAGAAAAAAAAGAAGCATAGAAATAACTTGGTAGTTTCCGCTTCTTCAAAACTGATTCTGCTTCTGCTTAAAAAATTTGGCCAAACATATTAACTTTGAAAAAAAAACACTTTTCTTGAAAAAAAAAGTGCTTTTAACCTGAGAGTAATTTGACCAAATAGACTAATAATCACACACAAAATTTTTTTCAAACACTTTAACTTTAAAAAAAACACTTTTCTTGAAAAACAAAGTGCTTTTAACCTGAGAGTAATTTGACCAAATAGACCAATAACCACACACAATTTTTTTTTTGATAAGTTCTACTGAACTAGTGGTTTGTTCTCCATTAACAGAACAACCTATGAAAAGGGAAAAATAAAGTGAACTTGAAAACGAGCTCCTTCAATTTCATGGGAATTTGAACCATTCACTCTAATAAAGCTAAAGCTCATATCCATTTCCTTTCATTAAAGGGTCACGGGAATTTGATTTGTGAATGTTGTCTTTCAGTCAAATCCTGTATTTGTTAGATAAAATTTATTAAACATTAAATATGTACAAATTATTAATTTAAAACTCAGTAACTTAAAAATAATTAGAATTCTCAACTCATGCAGTTCAAATCTTGGCTCCGCCTCTAAGTCCAAAAGCTATAAAAAATAAAGGAAAAGACCAAAAAGAAGTTTGGATAAGTAGTAGGAGTAATTATTTATGCTAAGTTTGAGTTTGAATATTGACCTTTAATGGTAAGACAACTAAATTACAACAGTTTGCTAGTGAGATTTGAAAATCACATCCATAATCTATGCACTTGGGAAATCAGCTGTACATATTTAGAATGAGATTTTTCATTTCCCAATTTTGTACTAGTCCCCTAATTGTATTTCTTCTTGTTTCTTGGGAAACAACCAGCCAGGACTTATGTAACAGCCCAGACATATCAAAAGTCAACAGAGTCCTTACGTTGATAAGGACTTAACTTCATCTTTGCTCTAATTGAAATTTTGAGTCCAAACAAAGACGGAGTATATAAGAGTCCCCAAGACGAATGACATAAGCATTGTAGACAAAGCGTACACATACGCCCTCCATGGATACTTACTTTCTCTCATTGCATGAAATTCAGCAATGAAAGTGGAAACTGTACTTAGACAACCCAGTAGCCCAAATTGAATACCAGAAGCAACAGTATCACACCTCTGCGTCTTAACCTATACCAAAATTAGAACAATATTAATTCTATAACGAAAAATATGTTGAACCTAACACCTGACGATAAACCTAATATATATTCAAGAGGCTGGCTATACTCACTGCTTTCTTCAAGGTGGCAAGTGCTGCCATGACACAAGCTGCTAATACATTGGCAATCAAAGTCCCGAAAGGTACCCATTTGAGCAAGCCTGATTTTCCTAAACCGCGTCCATTCAGTCGTGCTAAGAACCACCTGATCCACACCCCAAATGGACCAACTATGCATGCCAGCCACAACTGCGCTTTTGTGCTGCCACTGCTGAATTCAGTTACCTCCAGTCCTATACTCATACCCCAAAGCACAAGTAGAATGCATAGCAGAAAGAGAATAACTAGTACATAGCGCTTGTAGGTATCTACTCTCCAGTGGTAGTCGGTGCCAGAGATGAATGAATTCATAGTGGCTCTTCTGTAGAGCCAACGAACACCTTTGGCAGTCTCAACCCCAAATATGAATGAGTAGGCAACAAGAAATAAACCTATGAGAATTCATAGCGTATCAATAATAAGTTAGAAAAGGAAACAATGGTTCCTCTAATAAGCCTAATAAGGGAGCTAAAGGGAAAAAATATCAACCAGAATAGTACATCTATTCGTGAAAACAGTATATACCTATAAGATAGCCAAGGACTACAAAAACCCACTGGTGTTCAACACTAAGATCGAGCATTTTCTGGTTCCAACCACTAAAAGTTGTAAGGCTTCCTAGAAAACCAGTTGACAATCCAATTGCCAGTGAAGTCGAAAATCTGGAAATGTCCTCTTTAAAGACCGCACCAACCCAACCCATCAAGAACGAACCGACCTTTAGCAGCCAAAAGAAAATTGTATGGGGTCAATATAACAAAATACAATTAGGACAAATGAGTCACAAGAGAAACATGATAATGGCTAGATCACTAGTTCTGGTTTGAGCTCACGACCTTGCTGATCAAGGATGTATGGAAGTTTAAACAAGCAAAACGATTTCAGTTACATATGAATATTCACATATGAAAACTACAAGAACCAAGTATAGTACTAACTATGTCTTTCACAATGTGTTATTCTGCATTGTAATAAGTGTCAGATTTGTCAAGCTTCATTCTATTCCAGAGTAGAATTTGTTTGATGATATCACTATGCTAAAAGCAAATGCATCAAGTGCAGTTTTTTCATCTTTTTCAACACAGATAAATTTTTGCTTGTAGAAATGAACTTATGTCACAACTCCTTTCAATAGCAATTTCTCATAGCTTAAAGAGAAGTAAGAACAACATGAGAACCAGGAAATTCAATCTGGCATTGCTCCATTACAGCAAGTGCAGTTTTTTCATCTCTTTCAACACGGATAAATTTTCGTGCTTTTTCGATTGGATAGGCATATATATTGCCTACTGCATAAAGCAGATAAACAAGCACATAAACAAGAAGAGAAAGAATGGTATACCATGTTAGAAGGCAGGTCCAGATACATATAACTGAGGTCACTGGTGGCACCAACTATTCTTGGCCCGAACAGTATTTGGAGACCATACCTCAACAGAACCTGCAGATAATTACATAATCAGATCCCTGTAAATTGTAATGCCATCTGGTGCTATTTTTCAATTTTCTAAAACTGTACAAGCTGATTCTAGCATTCCAAGCAAACACAAAGATGTCATCACACAGAAAGCGAACATAACAAGAGGTCCATATGGACTTCCTAACAAGCCAATCATCAAAAAATGTGACGATCCTACAGCTCTTGCTGACATTTGATAGCTATAGGCTCAAGAGCTTTGTTATGTACTGAATCCTCCCTATCTTTCCTTGTGTAAACTCATTGCTTTGAGTTCTTGCAAAAGGCAAAGCAAAGTACTATGGAAAAATAATCCTACTGTTTAAACCAAAGCAAAAATTTTACACACTTCAAATGCCTCAAGCTTAAAGATATGCAGACATGAATAGGTCATTCTTATAAATAAATCAACATTAACTTGTCCAAAAACCAGATCCCAACGATGAAATTACCTTCAGACAAGATATCAGCCAATGAGAAATAAATGCATCTTCAACAAACAAAAGCATCTGAAAACCACCAATCATAACTTCCAAAATCAATAATCATACCTCCATTTGGAAAATACAGATTTTGTTGTCATAAAAATCAATACATGAAAGAACTTCAACTAAACATGCCAATCGAAAAAACCAGACATAGAAGACGCTTTCAGGACAACAATTTACTAAAGAATCCAAATAACAAGAAGACACTGCAAAAGCATAGGAAATTAACCAATTTGAAATTAGTCCCAAGAGCAGTAAGAAACAATCAAATATACCGCTGAAGTTTAAATGCAGATGAAACAAAAGCAGAATCACAGGACGTTTTCAAAGCACCATACTTCCCTTTCGATTTGGAAAGTCAGAAATGTGATATGCAAAGTAAAGCAATAGATGACCAGTAATTTTTTTAGTGGACTCAAAAAATTAAAACATATTGTACATTACCCCAAGTATTCCAAATACAGCTTGGAACAAGAGGCATGAAGCATACTCCAAAACCCATGGCACCTCTGTTTTTTCTTCCTGCGTGGAGATCACTGTTTGTAAGAACAAATGTTACTGGAGATATACAATTGTACAGTAGATTGGAGTATCTACATCAAATATAAGCAACAGTTATAAAATGTGAAAAATGGCCTATTGATACTCACATTCTTTTTATGTTCAGTTTGTAAGATCAATTTCGACGGGGATACTGGAGCAACACTACTCATAGCATTGGGATCATGAGACCATCCCTCTGAAATCGGTACAACCACTCCATGTTCTGGTGCATTTTCACCAGTTAATCTCAGCCTACCACTCCCACTGTACCTATTGCTTTGAAGCTCTCGATCCCCGATATCTCCTGCTTCTGATACAGATTCTCTTTCTTCATCATCATCATTCAGCCTCTTGGGAAGAGAAAACGACAAACTCAAAGAACGCCTCCTGAGAGAAGAAGCGGCACTGCTTGTGCAAGATGATCCAATTGTTCTGAGCTCAGAATCCTTATTCTCACAATCCATGATCTTCTCTATTGAAGAAGAAAAAACTTTTATATTTAGTCAACTGTCAATTTAAGATGACTATCATAATGATGCAATTGGTTGCATAAATAAATGTCTCATAGCCAACTACTCCATCCTTGGAAGCTTACAAATAGCATGAAACAAGTGATACTACCTACTTAAAATGTAAGTAGCATGTCAAACTATGAAATAAAGTAGAATATGGCTAGCAATGAGAAAAGAATAAATAAAGCAAAGGAGATCAAATTAAGTTGACAAAGGGAACTGAATAAAATTAGAAAAGAATAAAATAGTATAAAAAGATCAAAACCTTCAGAAAATAAATTTGTTTGTTTTAAGTTCCCAGGTAATGAATTTGGAGAAGCAACAGCTTCAAAGAGTAATTCCCAGTAAAACACAGAAAACTTGTGCAGTAACAATTTAATGTAGAGTACAAGTCTATTCTTCCAGGAAGCAACAAAATGCACTTTTAATTAGGTCAGCTATAACTTCAACCTTGACTGCTCAAAACGAATTTTGTTTTGTTTTACTTTACCTAAAGAACATCTTCACATGGCTATTGTCAAAAAAGATGTCTTGTAATACATAACCATGTGCAATAACTCTTCCCAAATAAATTTATCATATTCCATCTATTTGCATCTCTAGTTTCAATGTCACTAACATGAATATAATCCCACCTACCTGTTTCTGAGGAAGTCTATAATAGAACTTGATTAGGAACAACATTCAACTAAAGTTGGCACTTCCTTTAGTTGTTTCAAGAGTACAAATCAAATAAAATAGAAAAACTTACAATAAATCTAGGAAAAAATAATTTATTAACTTAATTATTTGACATTAGTAAATTTCTCCAGGGAAAGGAACGTAAGAAGAAGTCATTTCGGGCCTTGCAATGATTTGTTACCATTATTTTTTAACAACTCAGGCACCCATGCAACAAAAACACAGTTCATGTACAAATTAAGTGGACCCAATGGCAAATTGCATGGTTGGTGGCTTTTAAAAAGGAAGACAAAAAGCCAAAAAGTGAAGAGAGATCTTGTCAGCCAATTACATCTCCCACGTAACCGTATAAATAAGAAAAAAGTAAGATTGTTTTAAGCAGTTGATACTATTGAACTATGTCCTCCACTAACAGAACAACCTATTTATCTTCATGGGAATTGAACCATTCATTCACTAATAAAGCTACAGTTCATGTCTCTATCGGAAAATAGACTCTTAATTAGATTCACTTTCAGAGGGCAACTCTTAATCTTAGTTTACAGTTTACAGAGAGAATGAACATTTCATTGTTTAAGAAAAGTAAGATAAACATAATTCAAACACAAAGAGAGATCTAACATCATAAGTCCCCATATCCCCCTCCATTCCATAATCTTACCTCTTTTTGCTAAGAGAGTAATTTTTCACAACAAAGTTTTTTAACATTTTTTGGCGAGTCTGGACCAGCTTAGGGCACCTCGACTACTTGCTATCTCCTACCAATCGCTGTCTATCTACTACTTCCTGCCAACACAGGTATGCGATAACTCTACACGCCAAAACTTAAGCCGGTGAAACTTCATGGTTTTACTCTCACTTCATTGACCACTAGGCCAATGCATTAAAAAAGAAAATTACAGCCTACATTTATCTCGGATAATTCCTAAATATCTAAATCAGAAGGAGAATTAATATGTATATATAGCGACCCGCAAATACTATGAATACAGAAAGCGAGAGAGAGAGAGAGAGTACCATGAATAATAGAAGAAATATGAATAGGTAGAGCCCTTCAGTGAATCAACAAACTGAACGGTGATTGAAAATTTTGAAATATGCTTTATCAGTAAACATCCAAACCCAAAAAACCTTTGAAAAAGAGATTTTGGGGGGGATGAAATTAAAGATGGTAATGTTATTTTGGTGAATGTTAGATAAACACGCTTTTACCCTTTTCCTATCGAAATGGGGAAGGATGAGAGATTGAGCATTGATGGTGCGGTATGTGGTGATGGAAAGAAGGGTTGTTTGCCTCTGCTTTTGATTTTGATAGAGAAAATAGACAGTTTCCTCTTCCTCACGGAAGTGAGTTGACCAGCACACAATTTAATGCACAAAATCATTTTGGCTTTTTGTTGAAAGGTGCTGGATGTCTCTTTTCTCTTTACTCTTTTTCTTTTCTTTTTCCACATTATTAAGATTTTTACATAATAGAAAATAATCCGACGAATGTCTCTTGTATTATTGTGACTGACCCGGCCCGTCGTCACGCGAGTTACTGCCCCATTTCCCTCATTTTATGCTTCTTCATGTTTCGTTATCGGTATTCGGTGTGTTAGAATTGAATCGGATTGGTTTTGATAGGAAATGAGACACTTAGTCTCTTTAAGGAAGTCTTATTTTGGAAAAGTCAACTGGATGTTGACTATTGAGTTAGAGGGATCGGATGCGATTTTCGGTGATTCGGTTAGCTTCGGGGGTTGATATGTGGGTTAGGAGTGTGATCGGAATTGATTTTGGAGGTCCGGAGTGTAATTAGGCTCGAATTGGCGAAGTTAGTATTTTGGCGAATTCCGGTTGGTAGGTGAGATTTTGATACGGGTGTCGGAATGGAATTCCGAGAGTTGCAGTAGCTTCGTTAGACGATTTTGGATGTGTGTGCAAAAATTCAGATCATTCAGAAGTGTGTTGGTCGGGTTTTTGATCAAATGCGTATTTCGGAAGTTTTTAAGAAATTTAGGCTTGAATCCGATGTAATTTGATGGTTTTGGTGTTGTTTGTGGTGTTCTTGATGATTGGAACAAGTTTGAATGATGTTTTAGGACGGGTTAGCACTTTTGGTTGAGGTCCCGGGGGCCTCGGGGTGATTTCAGATGGCTAACGGGAATTTTTGAAGTTGGAAAATGCTGCAGAAATGCAGCAGTCAGTGCAGAGCAATTTTACTCTATGCGATCGCATAGCAAGGGCTGCGATCGCATAGAAGGATTTTCAGGGCTGTTTGGTTGTGCTATGCGATCGCATAGCAGGTGTTGCGATCGCACAGTGTAAAGCTAATCCGGGATTTTCGTGGAAATTTGTTCAATGCGATCGCAGGAGCAGATGTGCGATCGCATAGGCTAAAGTCATTGTGCTATGCGATCGCAGAGGATAGGATGCGATTGCATAGGGTTAATTTTGGAGCTGCAGATTTTGGTCTATGCGATCGCAGGGGCTTGAATGCGATCGCATAGAGTTAGCTACAGTGATCCGGGCTGAATGTTAAAAATATTTCATCCACGAACCCAAACCCATTTCCTCCATTTTTGAGTAACCTTGAGAGCTTTTGACGAGGATTAAAGAGGGTTTCGACTGGGATTGATTGGAGGTGAGTCTTATGACCTAAAAACATCATTTAATTGTAGATTCAACATCTAAATTCATGAAAATTTGATTAAAAAAGGAAGAATTAGGGCTTGACTTTTTGAATATAAATTTGGGGTTTGAGGGAGCAATTGAGCTCGAATTTTGGTAAATTTGATATGTATAGACTCGTGGCGAGATAAGGAATCCGGTGATGTGAATTTTTTGATTTTTCGAGAAGTGGGCCCGGGGCTCGGGTTTTGCCAACTTCGTGATTTTCGATATTTTTTGAGTCTTTTCGATTGGGTTGTATTCCATTAGCCTATTGTAACGTAGTACTTGTGGTTTTGCTCAGATTTGACGCTCGAGGAGGTTGATTTGCAAGGCAAGGGAGTAGCGAGCTAGGATTTCGGCCTGCTTGAGGTGAGTAATGGTTATAAATGATGTTATGAGGGTTTGAAACCCCGAATTTGCACAATGTGGTGCTATGTTGAGATGAGACACACGTTGTATGATGAGCGTGGGGTCTGTTACTACTGGGGATTTGGACTCGGTCCATCCCGTTTGATGACTCTACTGTACTTTTGACTGAGACTTAATTAATATCATTATATTATGGGCTAATTGCCATGTTTGGGGCCTTGTGCCGATCTGTAGAACCCTTAGGGGGCATTTGTATTAGTTGACCTCACTTTTCTTGTCAAAATCATACCCTCAGTCATGTTCTTAACTAATAAACATAATGTGAACAAGCTTTAGAAATTGTTAAATCCTAGTGAGAGTAACGTGTGGGTCGAGAACCCCGTCTTATCTTAGGGTGCCCGAGAGGCAAAGTCTATGTTGACTGAGAGGGGTCAAGAACCCCATTGTGAGGGTATTTGATATGCTATGGATCGGACTGCACGCCGCAGTAGTATATTAAATGGATCGGACTGCACGCCACAGTAGTATATTATATGGATCGGACTGCACGTCGTAGTAGTATATTATATGGATCGGACTGCACGCCGCAGTAGTATATTATATGGATCGGACTGCACGCCGCAGTAGTATGTTATATGGGTCGGACTGCACGCTGCAGTAGTATAGCGCTTGGGTTGAAGGAGCCCCTTCGGAGTCTGCACACCCCCAGTGAGCGCAATCGACTATTATTATTATGGATCGGGCTGTACGCCACAGCGATATACGGATCGGGCTGCACGTCGCAGCGGTATATATATTTATTGATTCGGTTATCGTGAGGAGTATATGAATTGAGAACAGAGGATAAGAACGAATAAATGAACTGAAATGCTTGAGGAGCTGATTTATACTGATTATATCTGTTTTACCTGGTTTAAAGAATTTCACATGATTTCCTCATTCACTACTGCGTAAATGATTTTACTGTTTGATATAGAACTGCGTAGTGCCTTTACGCGATTTCATACTGTCAGCCATTATTTATTATTATTACTCACTGAGTTGGAGTACTCACCTTACTCCCTGCACCATGTGTGCAGATACAGGTATCCCAGAGGCATAGTTTGAGCCTTCTGATACTGTTCAGTTTATTCCGGAGTCATCGAGGTAGTTGCATGGCGTCCGCAGGACCCGATTTCTCCCCTTATCCTCTTTATTTCCGCATTCAAGACAACTCTATGTATAGGTTGCTACACAGATTTGTATTAGAGGCTCTTGGCTCGTGACACCAGATCGGTGGGATTTATAGTGATATTTTATGGATTTTCCGTACTGTTTATCTATTGCTACAGAGTTATAATCACGTTAATTTGGCAATAAATCCTATTAATTGGTAATGAATTCTACATAAGAGATTGTGAGTGACGAATTGGTCGGGCTTGCCTAGCATCGTGTTGGGCGCCATCACGACCGGAGATTGGGGTCGTGACAATTATGTTTATCAATATCATGCACATCTTACCAATCTGATATAAAAAGAGTGAAATCACCAAAAAACAATTATACTAGGCATTATAAATATTTACCCGTAAAACAGTATAGTTGACTTTATAATGCGATTTATAGATAAGTGAATTGAGTTGACCCAAAAATACGAAACAAATAATAATAGAAATAAGATTGTGAAATGAAATTAAAGGAAATACAAGCATGGCAATGAGCTTAGTCTTCCCGGTATACAAGCAAGATCAATAACAACAGAAAGTAAATAATTGTATAGTTTCTTTAGAGCAAAATATAGCTTTTTTGTACTGAATATTTCGTCCCTATCAATGGATGCTAATTCTCCTATTTATAGCTATATTTAAGGAGACAAGTTCCCCAAATCAAGCTCCATTTGAATAGGAATAAAATCATCATTGGTGGCTGTATAATGGTAGGTTATAAATACATGTTCTCTGTAACGCTGTATTGTGGTTCGGGCCCGGGCCAAACGGGCCTGGGCTTGAGGCGGGCCGGGCTGAGGCG